ACAGTATAATTGAACTAACTATGTACAGATATGTTAAAAATAAACTGTTGAAGTAGAAATTAGTTCGGCTGCGGAATCTCATAAAACGGGATATAAAACTGATAAAGAATAAAAAAAATTTCCTGATGAAGAAGAGCTATTGAAAATCAAATTTCTTCGTTCTAACAACATTGAAGAGTTTGCTAGCGTCCAAATGAGCTGCGGTCCACTAGATTCCTTCACTGTTCAACTCCAAAGCGCAAGTCGTAAGCTGGGAATTGTTTTCGGCTCTCTGATCATGGGGCTTCGCTTTCTGTTTGTACAAATTACTTTCTTTTGAGCATCTTTTGTTGTAACTTCATATACCTCATTTTTATCGCTGTTTTATTCTTAATCCCATGTTTATAGCACTGAATGGGTTCCTTGACTATATTTACATTATATACAATGCGAGTTTGAATCGGCTCGACCTGCTGTAATAGCCGACAAGGTTTTTTGGTTGCGGTTATCTGGCTGAGCCGGCGCAGCCGAGACGGCTTCGGTTGAGCCATTGCCATCTCTATTTTCAGCAACGCTTACTAGGAGGATTTCCGCATCACAGGTTACGAACTGGAATTAGCACGTGTGTGCGAGTACAAGTACCATCGGTTTCACGGGCGCATAAAATACAGTAAATTATACGCTATAAACCGAACGGTTGCATGTATACGTACTCATATTTTTCAACATCCCTGCAACGTCCCGGAAGACGGAGCGGTGAACGACGAAGCTGCTGTCGGAAGTGCGGGAGACACAACTGGGCAGCTGGGCTGATTTGCATATGCCACCTTCGCAACAGTTAACTACTTAAACCACGAGGACAATTTATTATACGGGCAAATCAAGATTTCGAGCGAAAACGGTTTGGCGTATTGAGTCTTCCTTTAATAAAAAGACCCGGTACATATATATTGCAAGTCTCTGTAAATTCAAGCGATCAGTAACTTTCGTGCAGTCTCAAACCAAGAGTCGACGTTTTTCCTGTCAGAAAATGCAGTAAAAAAGTGTGTCCTACCAAAACAACATGTACTTTGCAACAGTGTTCCGGGTAAACCGGCTTCGAGTCGGCCTATCCGTTTAAGCCTACGTTGAAGCTTACGTCTAAGAGGAAAGCTGAGCCGGTTCGGGTAGGAGAGAAAAAGCTTTCGAGCCCCTTCGTAATTTAGCCAACCGCACAGCAAATGAGCTGCCAGAACACTGTCGTCGTTCGCAATGACATCGACCTTTATTGGCTGAGAAACATTTCAGAAACATTATATCTCCGTACACGCGCTCTTCCGCTTTAGATCCGCATAGGTCAAACCCATTTGGATTCATGCAGACCGTGTGCGGCTCTTTGGGTTCACTGAGAACACGCACAGGAATGAAATTTTGCATTGCATGCCGGTTTTTGCGGCTCTCCGCGACGAAGACAATGGGCCCTTTCGCTTTCGGCCAGGCGTTGTGAATATGGTCACTGCATGCCGATCCTGCCAAATATTTCGTGTTAAAACGGAGATTTGCTGAACGGAGAAACGTTCTAATAAGGCTCGCATGGAACTGGTGGATAAACGCCAAATTGTAAACCAAATTTTTGTCACTTCCTTCCGCCTTATTTTATGCCGAGTTGACGGGCTCATGTATAAGAAACGTTTCAATCCAGTCAGCAGGGCGCACCACATTTTTAGCGACGCTTCCGACAGGTCTCGGATCATTAAGCACTTTCGCGACGCGAAGAAACCGGATGTTCGGCTGGCCAACTTGTTGGACTACTGTCGATTCCATCTTTGAATTCAGCGAGACGGATGCATGTTCGTTGTTATCAGTCTGGCAATAGATCCAGAAACATTGCAGTGGATGGCCACAACACTGTCGGAAATGCTCCACTCGGGCCGACTTCCCACCGCTTTACCACAAAGACATTAGCGGCAATAAAGACCTCCCTTACGAAACAGGTTAGAGGCGTCGCGCTCCTCCATTTAGATAGCAAATTTGCCACAACAAAAAGCCCACCCCTGCATCAAAAATTTTACAGCCTTTTCGGTTTTCGATTCCAGCGGCTTAGTGGAAGTTTTCAGTCACAACCTAATTCAGTTTCGGTAAAAATGGGACGTAGAATAAGGGAGGTTTTAATCTTATTTCTAGAGCTAAGGTTGTAAACTGCTTTACCTATATAATTGAGACTGCCGCTGCAATTACTGTACAACCTATCTGTCAAATACAATGTAGGACTAAATGGTCGCATAGCCCCATACCCAGCATTCTGTACGCAAGCGGTGCAGTCACTTGTACGAAACGGATATTTTGAACTCAGTCGTACAGTGCACTGCGCTGAATGCGTACTGAAAGTGGAGATGTTGGGTATGCGACCATTTCGTCCTAAGCTGTATATATGATCAGCAAATAATTGTTCATCTGCTCGCGGTAAATTTGTACATATTTCGCTCCATCCGGTGCGTAAATATGACCGCTAGCAGAATAAAATTGTGAAAAATTTCCCAGCAAAATAAGCAAGATATCCCTTACCGAATCCGTAAGGGAGTCCTCCGTTGACGCTAAGGCCTCTGATCCTTGCAACACAAATTTTCGCAAGGCGAAAGAGGCGCACCCTGCCGTATAAAGGGCGCACCCGATAGCTAAACTGCAGTGATGCAGTACAGTCGGTATTCTTGTCGTAGTCTGCCGCGTTCCATCTCTCATTCAGCTGCGCAACCGGCTAGTGGCGGTTGCGGCTAGAAGACCGGTTATGGGCTTCCAGAATTAGATTTTATTAGAAAATAATTCGAACTACATTCTGCGGATGTACCGCAAGCATGCAGGTATTTGGTCTTCCTCCACTCTAGTAATGCCCGGAGTGACACTAGTTGCAAAGGTCACTAAGGCTTGGCTGCAGTCGAATAGTGCAAACTGCAAACCTGTCAGGTATAATCCACACGAGCATTAAAATTACATATTTCAGACTTATCTTTGTTAGCCAGGACGTTGATGGAGCTTCAATTAGATTGTAAGCTGAAAGGAGCCTTTCATTGTAAATAATCATTCCAGCCGCCGCCGCAGCAGATATCCCCTATTTTTGACGGCATTGCAGTTCGTAACTTGTTCCAGCGTGGACACCCAGAGTGCAAAAGATGCTGGACACATACGGTGATGGTGTGATCACATAGAAATTTGATCAACTTTTATTTACGACTACAGTGATTAATACCTTTTTCCGAAAAATGCTGTCCGAACTTGACTTGACAATAAGTTAAACATGGCAATAAGGCACTAACTGACCAGCAGATACCAATACAGTAGCGCCTTTTGGAAGATCTAAAACAAATACACGCATACATGCGCGCCTAATATTTCAGAAGAGATCGTACGTTGGCATTTACAGATGCAGTATATTACGCTTGTATCACGTTTTCTTATGTCATTTAAGCTGTTATCCGCATACCAAAATGTAGAGAATTTATTTCTCTACAATTCAGTATATAGTTTATCCGGGAAAATTTAAAATGAGCGATACAACGAACGTTTTACCGAGAATGTCTAAATCCCATCTGGGAAATCATCTTGCGACCGCCGGCGTTTGCCAGTGCCGTGCAGTAACGCAGCACCAGACCATTTAATTTTGTTTAATGCCTTATGGAAGTCTCTCATAAAGTTTTACTTGACATATTCTACACCGAAACGTAGAGAAATAAATTCTCCACATTTTACTGCCTTACCTGACAGTTACAATCTATCCAGAAAACGTTATAATCAACGAAATAACATTCAAGCCATAGAAGCTGAAACATTCTGCGCACATGTGCAGTACTGTGCCCGCATGCACGCGCCTATTGCTCATTGCTTTTTTTAAAATTACTTTTTATTTTTTGGCCCCTGCGGGCGATTCGTGAGCCTGCGCCTAGCATTGAATGGAGCTATATGCCCGACTGGTAATACACAAAGGTTACCGTCATCCTGTCTGTTTTGTCGCAGTTCCGTGATATTTGAAAAAAAACATGTTTAAAAGTTCGCTTATTGGATACTCGTGCATACGTCGGAAGGAGCATACGTATGTTATGCCAGCGCTGGTCAGCCTGCGCACATCTGAACTTCAGGAAATTTCCTGTCATCATCCATAATGATCTTTTTGGTGGAAGTACAGATATGTGGATGTTTCTAAGTACTTTGAAGTACTGTAATTACTTTGTGCTGGTAAATACTTCTTGTACTCGTAATTAATACGTACTGGTAAATACTTCCGGTAAACACTCGTACTGCAAAATAACAACGTCCCAGTATAAGCGGTCCACGCTCCAGATAAAGCACGGATCACACAGTTTATTAATACAATATTTAATTTGAAACGTTTATCATAATTATTGCAAGTTTAATACGCTACATACATACTGGAATAATTCATGATTATACGAGTACAAGCGCCCTACAGAGCCCTACGGCCAAGCGGCATAACAACAGCGATTAAAGTTTAATATCAATATATTTTTCTTCGGTGGTAAGCGCAGCATAGGCAAGAAAAAGCGCAGCGTAGCCAAGAAAATATATCATGTAAATTTATAAACGGACAGACAAAAGCAACAACAGTACTTCGATTGGAACCGTCACTGGATCACTTATACTTTACGGTGCAGCTATCGGATACTGCAACCCACGCTATCAGATCGACAGATACGTAGCACGCCACATGGTCGGTTAGCTTAACTACACAGTAAAAAGTGTGGTTCAGCTAACCGATCACCAACCGGCAACCGCCCCATGTGGCACACTGATATCGAGTGCTGAGTGATCGGATAGCTGCAGTATATTGTAACAGTGATCCAATGACGGATTTAATCGAAGAACTAAAATTTTATGTTATTGTGCTAGTGTCGCGATGGTAAAATTTTTAAGACATTTACAAACGCTTTAAAATTTAATTGTAGACGATCTTAATAGCCGGATCCTTTTCATAATTCTTCTAAAAATTACTACCTTTAAGTAAATCACTGAGAAGAATCATATATGGCAGTAGTATGTATTGAGAAATCGGAATATGTCCCGCAACAGAGTATCATACACAAGTTGACACAAAATACAATACGATACACGTTATCATTATCACTAGCTTCACAATTTTTTTAATTTTTCTCGATTATTAACAGCAGGATCGTTGATGATCCAGGATCATCGATTGATTGCATCGTCATCAATGATTGTATCGTTTCGCTTCGCCGACGGCTGACCTTACTGTGCTTGGCCGACCGGAGTACTTGTACTGAATATATCTATAGAAGTACCGGCTTTCGCTCACCTATACATAACAAGATTTTTTAAGGCGCACAAAAATATTATGTTTTAGGAAACTCCACTAACTAACACGTGCAAGAATATGCGCAATTTGATTTGGGGAGTGTATCAAGTCGCCATTTAAAATCATCCAGGCAGAAGCTTGCTATCCTAGATACAAATATTTAGTAAAATGTCTATAAGGACTCCGATTCTAAATAGCTGTCGAGCACTGACGATCGACCTACATCGTTTTCTGAAACCTGTGCCATAACTCCCTTCAAACGGTTCCACTTTTTTCGCTGGTTAGATAACTTCCGCTATCGACAGGAGCCTATATTAATACACAAACAGATTGCCGTCAGTCTATGACTTTCTTTATCTCGGCGGCTCCGGTGCGTATACGAAACAATAATAAGGCTCGTAATGAGGCAGTTTGTTAACAAAATTCTGCTTTGTAATTACCGTTAGTTGTCGTTCTAAAAAAATCCATATCGCAGTTCTTCGTTTACTACACTCTACTGAATACACTTATTATTAGCAGAACTTAAGTGTTATAACTTTCGCACTGGTATAGGCTTGCTATAAGAAACAGAATTATTGAGACGTACCTCGTAAAATTAATTAACAATGATCATACATATGTATACAGCGCCCTACAACGCCCTACGCCTAGCGGCATGACAACAGCCATTCCAACGATTGTGAGCTTTCACTGACGAATAAGCGCAGAATTACCAAACACATAATTACGTAAGTTTCTAAGTGGATATAAAAAAAGCAGCAAGAGCAAAAACGTTTGGTTGATGCTACGTGCACGGGAAAAACAAGGGCAAAGTTTTTACAAATGATTCTTCAAACCGATTTTTGGGTTCGAATATGAAAGCGCAAACGAAGCCAACTAACTGATCTACTGTACTAGTGAAATTATATCAGGGTCCAAAGGGGTGGTTGTGTTCAAGGAGCGATCCCCAAAACAGGAGCGCTATATTCGGGTGTTTATACTGTGGCACTGGCTACCGCATTTTTTTAAGGGTTTGCCCGGGAACGGCTGCATTCGAACCAGAAATAATGCGAGGTTATATGGAGGCCGCATTCGATCATATTTCGATACTATTAAAATAGCGGCAGGGTTGACAAAAGCCTGACCAAAAAGGCAGAATTTCTTCCTTCACCGTGTACCTGGATTTGAGTATATAGGGGGCAAAACTAAACGTGTTCCACGGTTCCCCTGTATTGTTGCCGTCACCCGGCTGGAGTTAACCATATGTATTGCCGTAACGTCACTCCAGGCGGGTGACGGCAGCAGTACAGGGGAACCGTGGAACACGCTTAGTTTTGCCCCTATATACTTCAGAATACAGTATGCCCCAATTAAGGGCGGCTGAAAAATCTATGAAAAAAAGCAGCGAAGTTATAATTTAAAAAGACAAATTCAAAAATATTTAAATGTAAATGTGCAATTCCGTGCACACAGCCAAAACCGGAAAGCGGCGTCCGTGCACGCAGCGAACACCAGTGCGGATTTAGAAAGGTCACCCGTGCACGCAGCCAACGCCCGTGCTTACCCGTGCACGCAGCCATAACGAAAAAGTTTTTGTTTTCCGTTATTGTTTTGCCGTGCTGGTGGTCAAATCGCAGTTTACTTGTATTCGCAAACTTTATAAAAGTAATACTTTGGAAATAAAGTGCAGACAGTGACTTTTATATGCAGGTAGTGAGCTCGACTTGTCCGTTATGGCCAGCTCTGCTGGCCATAATCCCCGGTCATCTTTGGTTCCACGTGACAAATCGTCATCAAAATTTTACCAAAACGCAATTCTTTTTTGCCAAATTGGTTGCGGAAAACCGATTTTTAAATCTGTATTCCCGCTCCGTGTACGTATCGCATACCTTGGATTCTTACCTGCACGTAGATATATGTAGCGTTTTCTTGGACTTCACTTCCTTCTGCGATAAGCAAGCAAAGTGAATTTGGAACTACCCGGGTATTCCTGGAACGTTCCTTTTAATGTTCGTAGAATTTATGGAAATTCTGTTAATAACAGTGCAAACAGTCATTTGATATAAACTATAAATTAAATTACGTACCTTTTTATTGTTATTTATCTTGGACAAACCCAGCTGATCTGCCAGAATGCTCCTCTTCTTACCATTTCGGATACCCAATGCGTACTGCGGCATCATTACGGGTCTTGTTATTACGAGCATTTTTTTATGGAGAGGGCTTTCAAAGGCTCAACCAATCTATCCCTGTACTTGCTGCCGTCACCCGACATTGTTGTTATAGTGGTGCTTACGTACCGCGCGAATTTAGAAAAACGATATGCCGCAAAACCATACTCCAGCCGGGTTACTGCAGTAAATACAGGAATGGATTGGTTGAGCCGTTGAGAGAGGGCCCCTTGACTTTGAGAGAGAGAGGAAGATCAGAAAGTCCCTTATATATTATAACTTTTTTATATACTGCACTCAGTTTATTTATGTAGTACGAAAACTTAACTTTGTTAAGCTACACAATGCTTTGTTATAGAGTTATGCGTTGTACATTGCACACTATTGTAAACACTGCACCTGACCATGAGCCTTATGTAGGTATACTGTAATGTGAGTGCTCGTACGTGTATAGCACGCTATAAATTTGTACTTATCTGATTAATACTAGTGTTAATCATAATTGTACCAGAGCCCTACGCCTTCTCCACGGCATGACAAGAGTGATCTAGTTGTATTAAGTAGTGTTGGGTAGTAAAAGTCCTTGCCAATATACTTATTTTTACTATCTGCTTTGGAAAGTTTACTTATTTTTACTTACTATTCAAAATTTTTCGGGACTTTTACTTACTTTTACTTTTTATTTCAATTTTCGCAGGGACATTTACTTACTAAATTAAAGTAAATTTACTAAATAAATGTAATTTAGCATTGACAGTTTCGAATTTCGCTAGTTTCAGAGCGCAACAGACTACTGAAAATAATGCAGATAAATTTCTTATGCATTAATCGAGCTATACAGGTGCATACTGAAAAGTAAATACTGCTGCTTTTGAGGACGGCAGGCTGGCAGCCGACTACTGCGCACACCCACTTTACCTGCGAGTGGCGGCGGCTGACGCCAATTTTCCGTAACGTTGATAAAACGAATTAGTAAATAATTTAGTAATTGATTTTTATTTATTCAACACTGAACCTTAATATTTACTTACTTTTTACTATTCCGGCAGCACATTTACTTACTTTTACTAACTTTGTTTCCAAAACCTTACTATTTACTAGACTTTTAATATTAGGCGGACTTTTACTAAGTAAAAGGCCGTTATTTAATTTTATTTAGTAGCACAACACTAGTATTAAGAGAGTAAAGTATTTAATTTTTTGGCGGTGAATAAAGCGCAGAATCGCTTAGCAAATAAGTACAGTAAATTTCTAAAAGGGACAGCAAAAGCGGCAACAGAGATAAACGTTTTTTTGCTTATCGTGAAAGAGGTCAATTCGTTGTAGTCGCGTGTTCACTGCTAACTGTCGTCTACCGATCTCAGCCAAGACTGCAAAAACAATGATCCTTCACAGGATACAGGAGGCGACCGCGGATCAAATTACAGGCAGCAGCGACTGCATCAAGCATCTCGTACCACTCAATGACATACACAGATTTTTTACACCTTAGTGACCTTACCCTCCATTTTAGGCCTTGTCGCCATTGATTAAATGAATATAAAACACATACTGCCGCCAACGTACAAGTAGAGACAATACCCAACGTACAATGTCGCTCCAGGTACAGGTGGCCGCGTGACAAAACCTACGCAGCTGTACTGTACTATCGAATGCCACCTAAACTATCGAATACTTACTCTAGACCAACAAGGAAATGGGACTTTAGTAAAAAATGACGCGCAGAATTCTTCCTGCAAGAATCAAAAACAAAAACATACAACATGCAGTGTCATCTGCCCACGGTTTGCCTTCTTTAGGATGTACACACTCACTGCACAGTATTTCGCCAGTTGCCGGCTGCAGCAATAACCTGTTGCGATTTCATGTACACCTCGAGCGAAACTGGGATGAATTACTTATAAGTACGGCTTGGCGAAAGATACTCAAGCAGGATTGGAACTGCTCACGTTAACACTGTCAGAAGTTTGGTTGTGTGCTGCGATGCAGCTTTCTCATAAGTACACAGTGCGAAAACCGTTGGGCGTTGCAAAGCGTGAGCATATCCTACCACGACTGGACTTCGTGGAACACTCGACCGCATCTGGCGCTGCGGGCTATGGTTAGCCGGCTGTTTATCGTAGCCCAATCGTGCACGGTATGTTCACAGCACCGATGGACCTTGTATTGACTATCCTTAGAAAGTTCTTGTATTATTATTTCGTATATAGATATTTCGATGGGCTGTATATTTGGTACATATATATGTATATTATTTCGTATATTTCGATGGGCTTATATTTTTAATTTTTTTTTGTATCTCACTCATTAAACGGAGAAATTGCAAAGAGCTGGATTAGGAATGCTCTATAGATGCCACTATTTGTGCCGTTAATTATGTCATTTTATTCTGTAAAAACAGTCGGAAACGGAGTTGAGATCACTTAGAACATTCTGAAAACCACTAATGTCGTGCAGCTAATCGAAATTTCAATCCTAATCGAATCGAAATCGAATCGAATCGAAATCGAATCGAATCGAATCGAATCGAATCGAATCGAATCGAATCGAATCGAATCGAATCGAATCGAATCGAATCGAATCGAATCGAATCGAATCGAATCGAATCGAAATCGCTAATCGAATCGAAATCGAAATCAGCTAATCGAATCGAAATCGAGCCGTAAGGTATTTTGCATAAAGTATATATGTAATAAGGCTCTCTTGCGTCCTTCTCTTAGATTTCACGCGGGAGCGTTTCTTGTTGAGAAAAAACATACTGTACGTCAAGAAGACAATGGTGTTTTGATTCACGAAGCGTTTTTATTCTTTATTATTCTGCTTGTATAAAAAGCTCCGTGCTTACCAAGTGAAAAAACCGCTACTTTATGATGACGCGTCTCAAATTCAGGTGAAATGTTACGCAGGGAGCAGCGAATTACAGTAATTTTACAGTAATGAATTTTTGGGACTTCCGACGCTCGACGCAGGTGGCACCGCCCGGTGTGGCATCGTGATTCGGCTCACATTTTGAGAATTTTCGAAGTTTTCCATCCTTTGATTTTGGATTGTCGGGAAAAAAAGTGGCTTCTGCGCAGCTTTGGGTGCAGAATGAAGAATTACGGGAATCATTCTAAGTGTTATCTGTGCTGTTTTGAACCAGACTTGTGCACACTCCAAGGATTCTGCCTGCGCAACGCACAACAAAATGCAAATTCTACTGTCACTGCACTGACTGCAGCACTTTGTTTATTATCACTACCGCCTTACACGGTACATGTACCTGCATCAGTGATCAATGTGCAGGTATAAATGCAGCGCTTTAAAAACCCCTGTTCAGCCATAACGTGGTATGTAATCCGTACGGATGACTGGAACAGTACAGGGAAGGTGTATGATATGCAACTGATTTCCCCCATATAAGTTAAATTTCCAGCTGTACAGAAAAAAACGGCACCCATTTTTTGCCTAGATGCGCCGAGTGTACCGAGCATAATTTCCGGTTTATTCGTTTTTCAAAGCTTTACAAGTAATCCAGATATGGAGTGCAAGGGAATATATTTCACTGATGCCGGTTTGGACCTGGATTTGAGCCGTTTGGCGTTTACTGTATGTTGACGTAGTGTGTTTGATAGGTATATTCGTATATCAATCAATGGCGTATACGCGAGAAATACGTAATAAACAAGGGAAATATAGATAGTAACCTACATATATGTGTCAGTGTGCTTTTACGTGGTGCTTTTACGGGCCGCTGGTTTTCCGGGTTCCCCGTTGCTATCCCGTGCATATGCACCAGCACGCTCTCTCGGAACCGCGGAATGGCGTCGTAATATCGGCACCACGGGCAGCGGTATAATTTCCAATCGTGGTGCGATCGGACTCGTACCGCTGCCGCTTAAACTCGTTGATGGTGTTTTTCCAAGTCATATGTTCCTTCTGTGAAATCAACTTGTGTTAGTGCGGTTTCTGTGGGAAAGGGCTGTCTGTACCAAGCGAAACAAAAGCGGCAGTTACTGATAACGAATTAAATAGTAAATGAACAGTTGCCAAATTAGCAAGCTTGATGTTTTGCTAAAACAAACACTTCGTTGACTTATATTTCGTACACTTTTATTTTCTCTAGTGCTCGGTAAACATGCATTTACTCCGTTTGCAGCATGGTGCATCGGAATAAGTTTCTTCGTAGACGATAAAAGCTAGTAAATACTGTACATGATTATTTAAATATTATTCACCAAACACAATCTTGCTTTCCGTATTTAATTTTAAATTTAACGGGAAGCTGTTGCACAGCATTTTTGTAATTGTGTGAGAAAATCGCCCTGTAGTAAAAGATAATATTTATAAGTTGCATAATGCATAATCAGCCGTAAACCACCATGACCTTTAGTATAACAATAATATTATTAATATTATTATGATATTCTTATGATGATTATCATTATTATGATATTATGATAATTATGATATTATACGTATGTCCGTATAATTATTATATCTATTTAAAATAACCTGTATACAGTACTTAAATATACGTATCATGCACACAACAGAGTTACATATACAGTAACAGGACGGCCGCGCACATACATTTTCGGGTGGTTAGAAAACTGTACCTTAATTGTACCATTAAGGGATTTGGCCCGGTACATAGCACCAAATTTGTATATATCCACGGCAACTTTCGCTGTCGCGCACTCCCAAACACTTTTTTGCATTGTTTTATGATATTTTGTAGCCAAAGGATTCGTAAACATAGGCGAAAAAACCGTTTCTGCGCGCAACATCTGGTTCGGGAGTTATTAGTGAAATAAAATTCCAAAAGTTTAAACGCGGGGAGGTGTACCAAAAGTCTCATTATGAACCGATGATTTTTAAATTTTGCACGAAAACACACATTACTACGAAGATCGTTTTGGTACCAAACCAGCTTTCTACCATTTTTTTAAAATTTTAAAATAATTTTTAAAATTTTTTAAATTCATTTCAAAATTTGAAAAAGATGCATTAGAAAGCTGGTTTGGTACCAAAACGATCTTCATAGTAATGTGTGTTTTCGTGCGAAATTTGAAAATCATCGGTTCATAATGAGACTTTTGGTACACCTCCGGGCGTTTAAACTTTTGGAATTTTATTTCACTAATAACTCCCGAACCGGATGTTGCGCGCGCAAACGGATTTCACGCCTACATATATAAATCCTTTGGCTACAAAATGTCATAAAGCAATGCAAAAAAGTGTTTAGGAGTGCGCGACAGCGAAAGTTCCCGTGTATGTACCCGAATTTGGTACTATGTACCGGGCCAAATCCCTTAATCCTTACCCGGAGCTTCTTGGCGAATTGCTGGATCAAACAGCGGGGGGATCCAGCCATCGGTAGCGAAGTATTGGTCAATGTCAATTGTCAAGCCTTGAACGTCCCCAGTCAACGAGTACGGATTCCTCGCCGTTTACTATTTCTCTATAGATAAAACAATCCTCCATATAAAATAGTTTCGCTGACGAAGATAAATATCCAGCATTAAATAATGGAATTTTTACCTGTACAGGGCCTTGCAAGGGAAGGGAATCTTTGGATCCACCATTCCGTATTCCTTGCGAGGCATACTGATAACTTCTATAGATATACAAATTTTTAATGGATTATTTGTGGCTTGACTTCTTTAGGTGTGAAAAAGCTTGAAGCTTAGTTATTGTATTTGATTGCATTGCGAAAGCCATGATATGACATATGACATGCAAGCCCCGCTCTGTACAAAAGTTATCGTTGTCATGGTGCGCTTATAGCGGATGGTGCCGGATACAATACAAAGCACAGAATCTACAGTACTGTATGTTAGTGATAAATAATGCAGTACAATTACTGTAACTAAGTAAGTATTGTATTGGTACGTACTTACTTATGCGAAATAGACGACTGTACCGACGGTTACAACCATCCAGAAAATTTAATAAAAAAAACTTTATTGCAGTTGTCTTTATCCATTTAAAAATTTACATACGCTGTACATAAGCGCCATGTTCAGCCAAAATGTCACGCCCCAGCCGGGCAACGGCAGCAGCACAGGGGAACGGTTCGAGTTAAATGGTTTCCCCCCTTCTATGTATATTTTACACGTGTAACATCGCTATCAGTATAAGATCGCTGTTGTCATGCCGCTTAAAGTAGGCGTAGGGCTCTGTAGGGCGCGCGCTTGCGTAATCCTGATATATTCATATAATTAAGTAAATACTGATAATATGTACAGTATATAAGTGCAGGACTACTCACATATTATTGAAACGCGAAAAAAGTAAAACACCAAAGTAACCGGAAGGACTTAATGGGACCGGTTCCAGACAGCGATATACTGGTCAGCGGTCAATTGTTACAAATTAATTATAATTTTAGTTCATCTTACTGTACTTAACTTACTTTAAAGTAAATATTGTTGCTGATATAAAATAGCATGCTTACCAGCTGATAAGCCCCAATAAGCTGCTCTTCTGATCATTTTGATTCGTATATTAAACCAGGCGTGTTTTAGTAATATTGCTGTACATTTATGCTGGTGCACGGGAAAATACGGTACAGGCGTTGGCTGAATCATTTATGCCCGATTGTGCGCGCTCCCGGGGTTTGGCTGTCTACATGTACACAGGCTGTTCGCACGGAGAATTTTAATATTTTCAACTTTTAAAAAATAGTTTTTGTATTGTCGTGCGACGTACAGAAATGTACCAGATTTTGTGCAGTGTGTTATAAATTCTTCTTCGTAATGCCCCGGTCATACTGTACTCTGTACTTCGTGTTCGAAGCCTTTAAAATAGTTCTAATCAAAAAAATGTGTCAACAGTATGATCGCAAGCTGTTCTAACTTCTAAGCACATTTTGCTTAGAACAAAAAACTATGACCACTCTTCGAACAAAATCTTTAAAACTTGTTTTATAACCATATAAAACATGCTTTAGTGGGGAGGGGCCTAATCAAACTTCTTAATAAGATGGTTTAGTACTTTTAACCAATAGTAGCGCGCATGGTTATAACATAACCATGCGCATGGTCCATGCGCATGGTTATAACACCGTATTCCCATTTTTATATGTCTTGATAATGCGGATATCATTTGAATACACCTAAAAAAGTACTGTCAAAAGCACACAGCATTCTTGAATTTATCTGGAAACGAGTTTTGTTGCTATCATTTAAAAGCGCGACCAACATCTGTAATAATTAACCAAAAATTGTAATAATTTGACCATTCATAACCGGCACAAAATGAGCAAAAAATGGGAGCAATAAAACGAGGCTCGTTTATTCCGTTGAGGTTGCGACGAGATATTAAGGCGGCACAAAGAATAATAAGAGAGCAGTAATGCTTGTTTCTTTCGGAAAAGCGGAAACTGCATCGAGTAATATTGGCAAAAACTGTTTTTAAAATACGAAAGCCCAAATTTAAATTCTTGTAATTTTTGGAAGTTTGTGGTACTCTGATGAAGTGATGCTACAGTAGTCTGATTTTTATTTTCAAATTTTTGGATCAAACGGGGGAAGTCTCTATCAGAACAACTTTAGCGGTATGACCAGCACACCGATAAAACTGTCCTAAGTATACTTTTGCGAACAGTTTAACACTCAAACACTTACCACCTAAAACAAATTCGTTAGATCCTGTGCTAAGGAAAAAGTTCTAAAATTTTCGTTAGAACACGAAGTATGACCGAGGCATAAGTCACGATTAATAACGCTCATTTCGACTGGACAGCACACTGACTAGTGAGAATATGAATTAATATCAGTAATCATTACGAGGCTACGAGATCGAGCATGGAAACTTTATTCAATAGTGTAATGTAAATGTGTTTTTAAAATAAAGGGAATTATTCTTATAATAAGTACATGCGCCAGAATTACCGTGAATGTGTTGCAGGGGTAGCAAGTTTGAGATTTTTGATTTCCGATCTATTGATCTTACATTATAGCTGGTGTTTTTCTGTGCAAGCGGCATCGACCTTTTACGTTATGACTGAGTGTAAGTTCGAAGAAAAAACTACGGTATCAGAATTATACTGCAAAATGTAAAAACAGAAACTCGTGCACAGAACTTTCACCCGTTCCCATAAAACATGCAACTGAACAAGGAAAACCCATGCGACCCCCGTGCAACCAGCCAATGTAGGCAGCCAATAGTCGTGTTTTCCGGTGGAAGCACTGACTTAGTATGACCGTAATATTACTAGTTTAGTATTGTTTTAAGTATTCCGTTTGTTCAGTACGAGTATGTATGCAAAACATTACTTAAGCAAAATGCAGTCCAACTAAAATTGAGATCGGAAAGTGCCCGGGCCCGCCATTACGCCATAGTGCTCAGCTTAATCACATGCATGATGCAGCAGCCGTAATAATTGCCGTACATTGGCGCTCTCTAAAATCCATAGCTTTACGCTTTGTATCTGCATTTGTATTTCAACTGTCAGCAGTGTGCGGTACTGTGTGCATTACACCTGACAAGCAGAGGGATCCTGTTATGTTTGGACATGGTGCGCTGGTCAGTACAACCTTTTGCTGCTCTGCAGATCTCATCCGCAGTATCAGTGGAATTAGAAAAATAGAATAAAGGAAATTTTAACTACATTTTAAGTGTAAGCACGGGCCTCAAGTCCAAACACAACAGAGAAAGTCCTACATACCTGAATATACTGTATTGTAATGACGTGAATGTTGTCGTATCTCGTATCAGTCGTATGTACGTGATAATCATTATAATAATACTATTATCACGTTTACTCAAGCGCCCTACACCCTCGTCAAAAAGTTTGTTATAAACCGTATCAACATACCTCAGATGTTAAGACTTTTATCATAAAATGTGCCGACGGTATGATTTTGGCAGCAGATCCTATGTAATGATTTATATCAATATGAGAACGTATCGAAGTTACAAAATTTATTCGAAACTCATGTCCGCATCGATCAGCGCTGGCGAAGATCGGTATCTTCACAAGCACGATATGCGGCATTTTAGATGTGCGCGCGAACGTTCTGTAATACTAAATTTAAATAGTTATTACCAAAAAATGACAATACTTGCCCCGTAGTAAAAATTAGTACTTACTAGAGCCGATTTTTTTCTATAGAATTGTATGTTTCTTGTATTCCCAAAAATACCTTCTCCGAAAATTGCTGCTTGTTAATCAGATTAAAGTTATCACTGCTAAAGGCATATTATAACAGTGTCAACATCATGATATTTCATTTACTTTGCCGGCCGACCGACATTGATCGTCTTTTTAAACCTCAAAAGCTTTTCAAATCTATGTCGCCGTTACACTTAGAGCATTAAAGTTCTTCTACGAAGCCTTGTTACGTAATCTTTTATCAAAATCACAATTTCTATGCAAAAACAAAAGGATCGGTCGACTGACAAGAATTTTTCTCAAAAACAAAAGTCTCAAAAATAAAAAATTTCTCAAAACAAACGGCGCTAACGCGACAATTAGAGGCAAAGCGTTAATGACATCGCGTGAAAGTGTGAAACTGCACGCGCGGTTGCTTCAGTACTTTAGTTACAAACTATGGTCACTAAAAGCTCCTTTTATGCTACTCATGATTGGCTGTAGAGCAGTTTCATTGTTCACCACTGCTCACGTTCAGCGCCGTTGCGCCCAATTTGATTTTACCAGCCAGTTTCGGAAACGGGATTTTTCCATTGTTTTATAACAGCTTTCAAAATGATTTATTGGAATTCTGTTTGGATCTTTGACGTTGTTTTGCTTGGTGGCTGTCGACAGCCAGATTTCATTTTAAAACATTAATACAAACACTGCTAGTGTTGATATTTATGCGTGAAACTGTGACGCACGGCATGTTTGTGGAAGAAAGTGCGACCTCCAACCCAGCCTGCAATGTTGCGAGGACCCACAGCAATTTTGGACTAATTATAGGGTAGGAGCTGATCGAATAGTTTCCAATTTACACATCACAAAGATAGTACGTGTCGAAATAGTTTGTGCGTTTTTATTTCCAGATCCTTAGGAGGCACTGCTTAGCTGGACAAATGTGCATGAAGACATGCAGTAAAGTAACAGGTAAACCAGTTGTGTAGCGGAGCGCTATTTTCAGCTACAAAACAATAAAACGAATTTTGCTTTAAAGAGAATATTAGTCCTTTTTGTTATCTTAAACATAGAAAACGAGCAGATACTAGATTTTTACTAAAGAATTTTTCATAAGGTATATTAAAGTGCAGCAGTGACAAGCTCAACGTATTTATTGAAATTTATGTCAATTTAAATTTTTTTTATCGCCTATTTGCATGTCGACATGCACGTCTTTTTTGTCGCTTATTTGCTTGTCGACATGCCTGTTTCAAAAGCGGTGGCGGTCAGTGCGTAATTTGCGGTAGGTATATAAAGAGCATAATTTTTCCATAACTTTGTTTTTGCCATTTTTGAATCTCTTCCAAATAATAAATTTTAAAAAAAAATAAATAACGTATTTAATGCGTTGTTGCTGCACTATCCTGACCATTGCAGCTGGCTTGTAAAGACAATACAGAATTTTTATATCAGAGTTGTCGATTTTTCCATCGCTTTATTTTATTGGCAAAATGCTCCGTTAACAAAAACAATAATTCTTAATTTAGGATTTTTGTTTGAAAACTGCATGTCGACACGCACAGCAATTTTGTTGCTGGTGTATTAAAAGTCCTCTCACGCAGCGCTTTTCTATAGCGAATGACCGTACTTGAATGCAGTAGATCTGAAATGCAGCATCTGTTGCGTTCAAGTAAAACTTGAATGCAGTTATTGTGCAGCTGAAAATATCATATAGTAAATAAGTTAACCGTGCTGATGGTTCAAAATTTAAATGTTTTGCAGGGCAGATGGAGTACTGCTCTCCCGGTCCTTGGCCAGACGCAAATCCACCGGGAAGTGCGTGGATGTCGACATCCACAATTGAGCTTGCCATCGTGACGATAATTAACTTGTGCATTTAGTAGTCGCTAATGCTATCCATGCTGGCTCATTTGTAATTTCTATCGTTCTTGTCAGTTTTCCTTTTATGCTTCTGGCGCACTATCGAAATCTATTTTTGTATTTAATTACGTTGGTGTTTTCATGAGAAAGTATGTCTCGGATGCTGGTTTTTTATGCTAAACTTGTTATGTCGTATATGCCAAAATAAATACAAAACGGTATCTGATATCCATATCTAAATGTTTCATATTGGTAAGTTTTATATAAAAGAGGAGGTAATCTGTAATAGAGGCTTTTTGCAGAAAACACCATAACCATACCTTAACCATCGCTTATCGGGTAGCTGGACGACCGCCATCGAAGTGGCAGTGTACAGATTACCTTACAAAAAGCGCAACTGATTTCTAGGGGTCTTCGAATTTATTTTTTTTTCCTCGTGTTACGTGCCGTGGAATCCTTTGAAACATCAAAATTTAAATTCTCTGATGTTTTCTGTACTTGAAAAGTCTACTTCTAGCAAAGTTAAAGTATACAGGAGTTAAGAGGAGCTGTTGGAAGTCAGCTACCATACAACGAGTTTGTATGGTATCCGCACTTACCATACGCTCGCACTTAACCATAGCGTATGGTTAAGTGTATGGCTATGGTTAAGCGGAGCAGTTGCAAAAAGCCTCTAATATCTAAGGCTAATTCAAAAGTAACCATTAAACTATATGATATTTCTGACGAGGGACAGGCACCAGCGGCATGACAACAGCGATCAAATAATTTTAAAATTTCGGTGGTCAATAAGCGCTGAGCACGGCACCGTGAAGCAAAATATCTAAATTTCTAATTGAATAAAAAAAAGCGACAACAGCAATCAAACTTTTTTTGTGCTTGCGTTTCGATAGTTCGTTTCCAGTTTGTTTGTATGTGACTCATTGATCATATTATGTGTCTCTATGAGTAATTATATACAGTCTGTAACTTTATGAATATTCCAGAAAAGCTTTTTTTATGCCGATTTGGAGCTCGATGTGTTGTATGCGTTCGACGTTCGCTGTAGGTTGACATAAATCTAAGTGCTCATCAATGGCGTATGGCCGGAGTGGGAGTATAAGGAGATCTTCGTCTGCCAGTGCGTTTTCCGTAATGCTGGATTCAGCTGCTGTAGGCCAGGATGGATGGTACGTATTTCCAGGTGTTTATTACATTAATCGACCGAAGCGTAGCGAAGGTCATCTATGCTCAGCGAATATGGAAAATATGGTGTCCGTCCGTCGGTCACCGCCACCAAATGCACATTGAGCAGTGGCCGTTTCTTACAAATGCACACGTTCGCCGTAGCCGTATATACTCCCGGCCTATGTAACTGGTGGTATCCGTCCGTCGGTCACCGCATATGAAAGTGAATAGATACTGTGGCCGTTTATGCTCACGATACACAAACCTTGTGGTGTCTGTGCGTCGGTCACCGCCACCGGTGGCGGTACTGTCCATATGTGCATTTGGTACTAAATGCACATATGGACAGTACCGCCACCGGTATCGGTTACTGGATACACACCAGCTCCGTGGCCGTTATACTAACGCCCCATGAACTTGGTGGTATCGTCCGTCGGTCACCGCCCAAAAAACGGAAAGGGCCGTTTATACACTCACGGCTTGTAATAGCCGTGGTGTCAATTCTTTGGTTCCACTCCCCTTTGGTTCCGGTGCGCTGTTTACTAACTGTAAGTATTGTCCTTATACAGATGTTTTCCCAAAAATACTTTAGAATATTTGAGCCGCTCGGTGGTAAAGCACTACCTCGTACGGAAAAAAGTCACACGAAGCTCCATGTGCTAAATCTATAATGTGTTGCGTGTGCGGTGAAATCAAAAAAAGGCAAAACTACAGATACACCCGTTGCCCTTTCTGTGATAGATAAAATTTAAAAAGTATTGTCTCACAATTCCTCTACGTAATACCGCCACAGCCATCTTCGGGAATCGGTAAAACGTCCGTCCTAATTTCTCCCAAATATGCTGCCGTCTAGGTTTTCTAAAATTTGAGACTGTGACCGGTAGAAATGACCATTCAAAAACTTACCAGACTCCCTATATGTTGCCCCCTCACCTGACCATCGTTGAAAAGGCAACCTTCGGCAAGAACGATGAAATGAGAGTTTTTCACCGAAATCATAATGTTTGAATTCCAGTTGCCGTAATCCATTACTTTTACATATAAACACCTAAATTACCGCCAGCGTTAACAGTAATTGTCACCAAGACGAAACAAAATATTCATCGAAAATTAATTTTTATAAAAGGAAAATTACTTAGAATGAATGAATTAGAATCAATTCTGCTAAATTAGAAACACTTGAAAAGTTGCCATGTATGTGTTACTTTAGGGAGCTTAATAAGGCCAATGTCAAAACGACGGCGGAATTTTCTGCCGGCGGAAATTTTGTAAGGTCAAAACGACGGCGGAATTTCTTGCCGGCGGAAATTTTGTGTGGTCAAAACGACGGCGGAAATTCCCATGGTCAAAATGCCGGCGGAATTTCCTGAACATGCTTTTTTTTACGGAAACCACGAACTGATAAAAAACCAACTTATTGGTAAACTAGTAAGTACAAGCTTGACATTCTATGTATTATGTATCTATGTATTCTTGGGAAACAAAGTTCTACTTTTGCTAGTTCCAAAAGATGGTTGTCGTTCTAGCTTATGGTTCGGCAGATAAACAGTCAACAACAGCAAACGAGATTTACAACTCAAAAAAGTTGAACAATTAAAAAAACACAAACAAACAAGAAACACAATGACAAAAGAGCATACGTACGTGCTCAAATAATTTGTGATGCAGCCGCTTCTGCCGCAAAAATGAGTCGATTAACGCGGTTTCTGTGTTTCTCTGCGCGTAAGATTCTTCGTTTAGTCTACATTCAGAGAAGTTGTGAGTCTTCCCAGGAAAGCCTCCAAAGGGATCACACTAGATCACACTTCAGTGCCATCGCCGCAGTGCCATTGTCAAGCACCTTGTTTGTCTCTTTTGCGCGGCTCAGGTATTCTCTTGAACTCATCCGCGCGTTCTGTGCAAACCGCCAATGCAACAACGCACATACAGACAGTACATACATACATGCGACCCGATAAAGAGGCTTATATTAATAACGGAGCGCCCGAATCTGTGTAAGATTCATTTTTCTTCCAAATTGTTTTCCAATATGCACAGTAAATGCACAATATGCACAGTAAATGCACAGTAAATGCATCTGTGTAAGATTCATTTTTCTTCCAAATTGTTTTCCAATATGCACAGTAAATGAAATTAAAGTTACAAAAATTCCGCCGGCATTTTGACCACGAGAAATTCCGCCGTCGTTTTGACCTCACAAAATTTCCGCCGGCAAGAAATTCCGCCGTCGTTTTGACCTCACAAAATTTCCGCCGGCAGAAAATTCCGCCGTCGTTTTGACATTGGCCCTTAATAACTTTCTGAGATTTGAAATGTGATTTCAGCATGAAGAACTTTACTTGCACAGCTAGAGAAACAATTTACGCAGTTGTAGGAGCAACGAAATTTTCGTATCAGCCTTGGAGGTTTTACCGGTTATGGATTTTTGCTGTATATTTTTGTTGTACCGGTTGCAAATTTTTGCTGTAACATCCATTTTACTAATTTTCGGCAGCTCTGCAGAAGATAGAGTACTGTACATGAGTTTTAAATATGCTAATAATTGTAAACATCGTATAATGCAATGGCACCGGAAACGACCTAAATATAAATATAAATTTATCTCATATTCCTTATGTTTGTTTATCTTATATTCCTGCTACGCTTCGGTCATGCAGTGCCCGCCAAAAGCGAGTGCACTTTCCTAGTTTAGTTTAGTTTAACTTATTTCGATCAGACAAACCCTGAGGCAGTTACAAGCCTGGTCACATTATAATGCAAACAACAACAAAAATAACAGTACAGTAATATAACTAGGAAAGTGCGCTCGCTTTTGGCGGGCACTGCATGACCGAGGCGTAGCAGGAATATAAGATAAACAAACATAAGGAATATAAGATAAATTTATATTTATATTTAGGTCGTTTCCGGTGCCATTGCATTATACGATGTTTACAATTATTAGCATATTTAAAACTCATGTACAGTACTCTATCTTCTGCAGAGCTGCCGAAAATTAGTAAAATGGATGTTACAGCAAAAATTTGCAGAGCTGCCGAAACAGTACAGTACAGTACAGTAATATAAAAATAACAGTTTCGACAGTAGTTCAGCCGCAACCTCATGGCGTATATAATTTGCTCAGCTAATGATCGAGAAAACATATTTTGCGAGCCAGCATGCGAAGACAACCGTACAGAGTTTATGCTACCGGTTACAGTTTTCATTTCTGTTTCCAGCAGCAAAACAATTAGCACTGTTAACGTTATTCACTGTGCTTCCTCAGCATGCAGACGTGTTCACCTCATCACCTGTACGAATCGATCCATCTGCAGATTGTTTTTGGTTTTAAATTTCAAAGCTATTTCCAGGCTCCAGCTATGGATAATTCGATTGATTTGTTGCCCATGTATGGCATTCAAAGATCTTGCCCATAGCCTGAGCCATTGCCAGTTATTGGTAGTTAACATGGAAAGCTCTCAGACTTCACAATCAGCTCGTTCAAAGTTAAGACAGCCAATGAATCAGACGCGAAAAAGCTCTCCGAGTGCAAACAGAGCCATTCTGCTCAACTTGCACACATCCAAAAGTCTCAGATCACTTTCGATCCATGATTTCGGCGTCCCGTCTGCGTGAAAGCCGCTAAACCTGTGAACGAGCACCATTATAATAAATGTTTTCTGGTAAAGTTTAGTTCTCTTTTCGCATTTTAATTACGTATTATTATTATTATTGTTTTTTCTTTATTTTCTTGTATTTCGTTTCATTCTCCTCTTGTACTCGTATCGATTAACTCGCCACGGATAACGAATAATTAATCAATACAAGAGGGGTTATGGCTATTTTGTCACAGTATTCTGCTGTGCACCTGC